TACATATGCATTCACCTCTTCAGCTATTAACAAGCTGTGACCTGGAGCAGTACTTCTCAAAAGTATTTGTCATGAGGAAACTGGGCTGTTTTTTTTTCCAATTTCCAAACTATCATAAACCAATACTTGTGCAAAAATAAAATAAAAATGAATCGCTAAAAGGATTTTTCAAAAAACCTAAAATATACAAGCCCTCCATTTTTATTGTTAGATGCAACAAACCTAAAATTATTATTATGACTAAGGTTCCTAGAATGTTTACTGTCAATGTCTGTACTTATTCCATGTCAGCCCAGTAATAAACTCAGCAGACTGCCGGCAGTCCGTGGGCCGTGCTTTGCGTAGAAGGATGATGGGGTCGCTCTAGAGGAGGTGCGGTTAAGGTGGGATTGACGGGGTGCTGGGTAAGCCTGGCAGCTCCTGAGAAAGCAGCGAACTGTAGTGAACCGGGCCGGCTTGTTGCTGGCAGTTTCTCTACACACGAGGTTAGAAGCCCCTCAGCCGGGGAGCTGGTCGGTCTCGGTGTCCCTGAAGTGAGTAGACCGGCCTCCTGGGGCAGTCGGCCTCCCTGTGACACCCCCCTTCAGAGCTCACATCAGGTACCTCGGAGTCATCTGTCACCTTCCAAAGTAGGAAAGGCTGAATTTAAGCAACTCAGCTGAAATACTTCTGAATAAAGAGCAGTCCCAGAAGTCTGCACAAAAACTCTGCTTAACACACAAACAGCAGGGAAATTGGTAGGTTTTGGTTCAGGGAACCCTAAAAATACTGCATTTAAAACAATGAAATGAAGATTCTTTAAATTCTTATGTCAAAACTTGAATAAGTACAAAGTAGCATCTTGTATAATAAATTTGGTGTAGAAGTTTATATAAGTTTCAGTTTTCTTAAATGAGTAGAGAAACCACCATGTTCCTTGGTACATAGTTTCCAATAAATGAAAGTTTTCTTTCCTTTATTAAACAGGAAGTTTACCAGGCAAAAGAGTCACAGCTTGGGAAACTTCACATCCGGCACAATGCTTTACACACATAAGGAACTCAAATACTTGGAGAATGGAAAACAAAAAAGATACTCTGACCTTTGTAAAATATGCTTGTTGTTTCATGAGTAAATATGAAACGTATTGTGTTTTATACATTGCCTTTCTCCTTGTAATAAGTTAGGTAACAAGACAAAATAATTATTTGGTTTTAGTTTTGCTGTAAGCCAACCATAATAATAATAATGTATGAGATTAACATCTTTTTCTCTGGCTCAGTGAGTTTGCACAAATCATTTTATAATCACCTTCAACTATTTGCTGTCTGCTTTGTAACAGACCTCACACACCATTTCTGTAGAACAGTTAGGGATGAGTCCCTCCTAAATTGGTTGATATTCAAAGTTAATTTTTATTGTCTCCTTTGGTTGTTGATACTTGGTATAAATTTATACCTTAAAATCTGTAATAATAAAATCTAAGTAGCAGTTTCTCATGTATAAAAGGGAATTAATAGATTTCCAGAAGTCAGAAATAAAGATAATTCATTTGAGTTGGCAGAGACTGGCTTGCCAGTGGTGACCCTTGGCAGTCTCCATCATCATCCTGTTTCTTTTTCTAATGATTTTTCAGATTTTCATGGTATAGAAGCAGTGACATTGACTAGTGATTGGCTCTTTACCATTAGTGATACTGTATTTGCAGTTGAAAAGTTTTTACTTTTCCTTTGCTACTAGGTTTAAAACAACATGTTAACTGTTTTCCATCTTTTGGTTACACTTCCAGTAGGTAATTACTGTACCTTATGTTTGGCATGTGTTTCTTTAGCTGAGATCGGGAGGTGCACAAGTATTAGAAGGTTGTATCGCGGAAATCCACAACATCACCAGCTTAGACATCTCTGATAATGGTAAGTCAGAAATCGGAAAAAAAAGTAGAAATATTATTTGAAGCAAGTTAGTAAAGGGGAAATAATCTAATAGTCCAATCTAGAAAACACCTTAAAAAATGTTATTTTGCTTCTTGACTAAAGGGACTTTTTAACTTTAACAGAGTTTATTTGTAGAATAATTCTGTGCCAAAGTCTTAATAAGTTGATGTCATAGCCAAAAATACAAGGTCTATGCCATAAAACAATTTAGTTAAAAAAAATCATCAGTCTACTGATAAAGATCCAAGCCCAACCCTTTACATTCGTCATCATAATAAAATCAAGCCCTTGTTTATTCAGAAACTTGTTATGTTAGTTTCAATTCTGATTCTAATAGCATGTGAGTATGAACTTATTCAATTTGCAGAGACAACTTTAATTGCATTTACTTACCAGTGAACAGTATGTTGGAATCTTCTCTCACAAAATGATGGGGAGAGGTGAAATTTTCTGTTATTTATCATTCCCAGGTCTTGCTCACTTTATTTAGCTTTTGTAGAGCATGAGTTTATCCCTGTGAAGTAGTAGAACATGAAAAGAAAACAAAAAGTTCCTTTGAAAAGAAAAGGTTGGAATCCCAGGGCCTTTAGGATGGTACAGAAAGTCATCCAACTGCCTGTCACCTTTGCTCGGTTGTGTTCCGCCTGAGAAGCTGTTATACATGTGTTTTGATTCTTATTCTCATTCTTTCCAGGTTTAGAATCTGACCTATCTACCTTGATAGTGTGGCTCAGTAAAAACAGATCAATACAACACCTGGCATTAGGCAAAAATTTTAATAATATGAAATCCAAGTAAGAGTTTTGAATTTATTTTATATGACAGTGATGAAAATAACCAGCCTCCTGAAAGCTTTTGATTTGATCCCAATGTCCGCATCTTTAAACTCTCTTTAGAAATCTGACACCTGTGTTGGACAACTTAGTACAAATGATTCAAGATGAAGAATCAGTGAGTATTATTTTAAAAACTTTTGCCTGAAATCTTTTGTTTGTTGCAGTTTTACTAATTATTGCTACTGGGTTAATACTGATATGCTTCAGTTAATTTTTTCTATGTATACATTTTCTATTATTTTCTTTAAATGTAGTAAACATTTATGCTTTAATACAATTATAGAACGTATATAAAACTTATTCTGTACTTCATTCAACTCATCACTAATTAAAGGAAGATTGTAACTAATAGATTAAAAGAAATATAAATGGACTCTTAAGCTATCTTTTAATAAGCCTTATACTTCCTAACTTCCTAATACACTCATCTGCAAGCACGAATTCTTAGAATCTAGTTGACTTTATGACCTTATATCATGCTGAGAAACATATTGCTAATTTGAATTCCATCTAGTAACTGTGCAGAATTAGAAGGGACTAAGAAAGTTGTCTCGTCTCAAATTGCTCCTACAGCTCTAGTGATCCTTGTCTTTTCATCCCCTCTAGTTGCTCCTGGCCAAGACTTGGTTCAGAGTAAATAAATTTAACTTTAAATAGTTTCCTATTTTGTTCCCCTTTAAAATACATTAGAAAAAAGAGATTTTGTGGACAAGAAGCACTCTACCTTTGACTCATTTAATTTAAACCTGGTTTATCACACTTTATATTTTACTGATTGCTCTTTAAGATTTTATGTTTTGCTAATGTTCCTTTCCTGTCTTAGTCCTGTTTGGCCACTGAACAGATTTTATGGCTCCTAAAATTCAAATCTATTTGCATTCTTCTGTGAAGGTTCATGTTACTCATGTTTTGTGATAGCTACTTTTGTAAGTCCTGAGAGGGATTCCCTGTATTAATCACGTGAAGTTTGTCACATTTTTAAAAAATAAAATTTTCCCTTCTGAATTGGTGGCAGGAGAAAATTCTGTTGTTTGCTTCTTCAGTGTGAAGGTATGACTTCCAACCTGTGAGCCAGAAATGAAACTCATTATTATGTAATGGATTCAAGCACATGTCTTTGTCCTCCTTTCCTAATAAACCCCATATTTTGCTAGTCTTATTCTGGATTATTAAAAGTAGGGCATAAATAGAATGTAATTTACACTTTTCAGAATTTATGTTGTTTTATATATTTAATTCGACTTTATACCTCTCCGCTTTATTTGACTTTTGAATTTCCCAGTACTGGTCCAGTTTTAAATTTTAGAGAAGCAAATACTACAGAATCATATTTAATATTCATCCCCAAATATTTGTTTCTTATCATGTAGTTTAGGAATTTCATGAAAAATGTATTTCTTAATTTCATGTTTCGTTTATGATACAAGGGTCTTCAAATGCTGTTTCTATAATTTGGAAGTCTCATTTAAAGATAATTTTGGTATTTAAAACACTTAAAAGTATACTTGCAGCTGGTAAAGTTTGCTGTGAAAATGTGAATTCCATCAAGTTAAAGGTTTGAGAAATATGCCACTAATAATGTAGAGTGAAAACTTTTTGGGTTTTCATGTCACTGAGTACTAGGTGGCTTTTTCAAAATGCAATTACCTTCTGTTTTTTTCTGCTTTTGAAATAGTAATGTGTAAAACAATTTAAAATGATTAGGAGTTGAGTCTTGTGACTATAAAAATTCCACCAATAACTGGCACAATTGGGCTCATTTTTATTTTTTAAGGTTTTTACATCTGTAATCTTTGTTTTTGTTTTTGTTTTTTTGTTACATTCTGACCTTGTGTTTGTAGAGCTTGTTCTTTGACAGTCTGTGGAATGCTGTATCCCTCCAATACTGCGCACTGTGCCCAGGTGGGATCCAGTGGGCTCCCGTGTCGTGTCGTCTTTGACTACAGACACTGGTTGTCAGGCTGCTGGGCGCAGAGTTGTGCGATGCTAACACCGAGGGGCCAAGCTGACAGGAAATGTTATTTTGAGATATTACATACAAACCCGTCTTGTAACCGGTAGAACAGAATGTATTCCTCCTGGGAGTGCTTGTAGCAAGGAGACAAATTCTCAGATTATGCATGTTCAGCTATGAAAAGAAAGTAAGATTTCGAATAGTAATGTTACATGGAAGTGCAGTAAATCAAGAAGGGATGACCTTATACATATGCTTGCAGTTTAGGCTGTTCTGTTCTCATTAATAACTCTGTCTGTTATTTTTAAGTGTTAACTGCAGTATATTAGAGTTTGAATATAGTACTGGAATTGTTACTTGCTAGCTTGGAGACTTGGCAGTTTTCTGGTATTAGGAAGAAGCCATAATATATCATTTTTGTAGTAGTTGAATGGAGATTATTGAAATGAAGAGGTGTGATTACAGCTTTTTATTAAAGCAACATTGCATTTGTTTCATTTAAAACGTTCACTTTTCCTGAGTCTGAACCATTCTAATTTAGTTTTGTTTTCATTTACTTGAATGTAAGATCTTAAGAAAATTCAAGCAGGCTCACTAAACCTTCCTGAGTCTAAGCATATGCAGGCTTTTTGGTTGAGGTTGTAACTGCTGGAGCATGTTTACCATGCCATTTATCTTAAAAGATTTTGATTCTATTTAATATATTACCTTTTGATTTTACTATGGATATAGGAAGTTTAGAAAACATGGTCAAATTTGGACAATAAGGGCAGTAAATACAATCACCCAGCAAAACTATAACCAAACACATAATGTGGGTTTCTAAGACTTGAAATCATCAAAACCTTCCTGAGCCATTTGACAGATGCAGCTCGAACAGGTGTTCTTTGGAAGTCAATATGCAGTGGTTAAATGGACACAGATGAACCCCAGGCTTTGTATGTGGCCACACAGAATGCCCAGGCACCTTGAGAACCAAAATCCTATGGGCCACTGTGGAACCTGGTCACGGACAACCCTGGAAACTGCCTCCAGTATCCCCCTCCTTGTAATGTCAGAACTGCTTAAGGACCGATCCTAGAGCGTTGCTCAGTATGGCTGGGCCAGTGTAGACCGCCTCAAGGAAGACATCTGATTTCCCCAGTGAGGTCTGAATTCTGACTTTAAGAGCTACGTCGATCTGAGTCCTGGAATTCTCCCCATTTCCTTAATTCAGTTATGGTCAGAAATCAAGGATTGCAAAATCGGATGCCCACAGGGCTAGGAAGGCAGTGTGAACAGGCAAAGGGAGTCTGGTGTGAGCGGGGAGTCACCCTCATTTTCCTGGTCAGATACTCTCCAGGCCAGACAAAGCCTACCTCCAGGCCGAGTGGCTTTCAGTGCCTTAAATGGACAGTGAGTGGGTCAGTCTGGCTTCCCCCATGCAGCTGATGGTACTAAGGTCACACACATTTGGCTTTTCTTGTCTTTTCTTCATCTTTTTTTTAAATTGCAGGTATTTCTTCCAATTGGTACTTAGAAAATACAGCTAAGAGTGACAATCAGAAAGATACAGGATAAGCTAATAGAGGAGATGTTGTATAGGAATTAAGTGCACAAAGTCTAGAACCAGGCTGTCCTGTTCGCATACAGCTAATTTCTAACTGTGTGACTTTGGTTGAGTTACTCAACGTTTCTGATTCTCATTTGGGAAATGAGAATTACAGCGCCTAATAGATTATTGCCTAACTGTTGGGTTACTAGGAGGATTAAATGAATAAACACATGTAAAAAGCTTATGTCAGTTATTATGTGCTGGTTTTTATTTTGCATTTGTCCTTTACTAGTATTTTAAGATGTCATTTCACTTGCACAAAAATAGAGTGAGAAGAGAGAGTGCAGCCAAACTGAAGCCCAGGAATTTCTGTGCTGTATTTTTACTAATTTCATCCTATCCTCCACTTCAAAAGACCTGGCATCTGCCCCTCCAGGTACCTTCCCATGGCTACCCTTAGAAGAGAGGTGGTCAGTAGTCAGCATTAAAATGCAGCTCTCCATGTTTGACTCCAAAGGTCCGTTTTATGTCAGAAACTTCAGGTCCCATTCGTCAGTGTCATTTAAGCAGATCTTTGAAATCGGGTGCCTACTCTTAACGATTCTCCATGAACTGGGTCACGGCGGGTGACGCCTGACTTGATGAGCCTGTGAGTGCTGCCTGTTGTCCCCCCCACAGCCCCTGCAGTCCTTGTCCCTGGCCGACTCAAAACTCAAGACTGAGGTCACCATCATCATCAATGCCCTGGGAAGCAACACCTCCCTGACCAAGGTGGACATCAGTGGGAACGGGATGGGGGACATGGGAGCACGGATGCTGGCCAAGGCGCTGCAGATCAACGCCAAGCTCAGGTGCGCGGGCGGTGCTTGGGCCCTGCGTGTGCGCGCGAGGACGGCCGGGCAGCTCTGACCGCTGGGCGCTGGAGACCTGCCGCGCGCAGGGGGCCTGAGTGTCCCAGGCCAGCTGGGAAGCAGAGGCATGTTCAAGCCTTTTATCAAAATACTGGGGGGAGTGTCCCCGAGTGTAGACACAGCGATTCCGTCCAGCTGTCGTCGTAGAGTTTCACTGCGAGGTACAGCCCGGCTGGGAAGTGCAGCCATTTCCGTGGGCGCTGAAGGCTGAGCCAGGGGCGGGGAAAGGCCACCAGCCGGGGGTGGAGGGGTTGTGAGGCAGCGTGAAGACAGAAGGACCGACACGAGGGGCTTCCCTGTACTGGATGTGGGCCTGATGTCTTACAGGAATTCCGCGCCCACTCCTCCCGATATAAAGGCTTAAAATCAAGGGAGACGAGGTCCACAGGTTCAAAGACAAGTTCGTGCTGGGTGCTGACTCCTCTATTTAGTGGTCACCATTCATAGCGCTTCCCAAGTGTGGCTTTTCTTAAGGCCTAGCTGTTTGGTGACCACTTCCCTTAAAGACTAGCTACGTGATGACCACGTTACTATCCGTCGTCAGGGAGGTCCGGCTGCCCCCCAGCCCAGGAGGCTGGTGAGTGAAGAGTTCACTTGCGTTGCTCTTTACGGGCTCTTTTTGATGATTCCCTTGCTCTCCAGTATAAGCCAGAGCCTCAACCTTCCGTCTAAACTGCAGCCAAAAGCCAAAACCACAGCAATTCCTTTGAAGGTCAGTATGTATGTGAAGAAGGTCATTGAGATCAGGAAGGGAAAGCAGTTAGAGTTGGGGAGTGGACGTCTGGGGTCACTCAGATCAGTACAAACGATTCCATGTGTCAAGTGAATCGACAAACCCTAAAATAACCTCCGAAGTATTCATATTCTGGAGATAAAATAATACTTTTCTTCCAAAATAGATTTCCTGTTTAAAAGTAAATAGCCTCCTATTTATGGTAACTGAAGTTTTGCCAGCAAAGTGCGTGAGGTTCCTGGGATTGCTGATCACACGTATCCAGCAGTGATGAAAACAGAGGAAAATATGACAAGGTTCCCTCTCGTTGTTCAGAATAGAAAAAGTCTCAGCACCTGAAATTCTTTATGCAGACATAGGACTGTTGAGCATCTTTTGTAAATAGCTCCAGCCTCAGACATGAATACTGACATATGTTTGGAGACTACTTGGGGAGAATATCAGAGAAATCAACCTTTAGAGTTTTCTTGCTTGTAAAACATTAGGTAACTTAATGATTAAGTTAATGTGAGTGTGTTGCTTTTAAGTATGTTTTTTTCATACTACTTGTGAATACAGTGTTGGGGTAAATGTTCATCCTTGTTTTGTTTGAAACAAAGTTGAATATTATTCCTTGCTCATTAAACAAATACCTAGACAGTGTTGCCAAAAAGAGATATTGTCAATGATGGTCATTTCCTCCATTCCTGAGTGTCTGATTATTTATGTGACTTCATTTCAAACAGGACTGTAATATGGGACAAGAACAACATTACTGCACAAGGCTTTCAAGATATAGCTGTTGCAATGGAAAAGTAAGTTTTAATCGGGACTTCTTCCTAGAAAAATACAAAAGAATCAATGGTATCTTTGTCATCTTGGGGTAAAAGAAGTAGCAATAGGTTGGGAGTCAGGAGATCTGGGTCTGAGTCTGTCGCTAGCTGGCCACGGGCCCTGGGAAGGCATTGACTTGACCTGGTGTGAGTTTCCTCATCTGAAAAACGAGGGCAGAGCTACTTGCTGTGCTGAGGACACTGCGCTGTCCTAAAGATTAACTGAGGTCCCGGGGAGGGGTCGCGTGATAGTCGCCTTGCTTCCTCCGCCTTCTGGTTCACAGCTCACTGGCTCTTTGCTTTTCTTGCCCATTATGACGACTTTAAATGCAATGGTGAGAAGAAAGCTGATGTCCAGAAAATAAAAGTGGTATTGATGAATGGCAAGCCCAAGGCTGACTTGTCTCATTACTGTGAAAGACTTGATTATTTTAGTAACTAAAGTCTGCAATTATTATTTATTGTCAAATTTACTTTCCCAGAAAACTAAGCAAGCAGTAATAATACAAACATGGCTGAAAAAAAGTGCTGGAAATTAGGTGGTTCTGTGCTTTTCAATCCTCATACCTTATTCTAAAGGCAGAAATGATGAAAGCAGATTTAATCATTAAAAGTGAGGTTACAAAATGTAGGTGGGAAAAAAGGGGCCAGTAGTATAGAGGTCGGTACCCTGGGGGAGGGGAGGGGCACTCTTTATTTTGTGTTTTCCCAGATTTCCTAGGTGGAGGTGTCATGCCCAGCACAGTGTTGTGGTTAAAAGCCCAGACCTGGAATCAGGTATCCCCATTCAGTCCCTGGCTCTGACACCAACAAGCCCTATGATCTAGAGCAAAGCATTTCACCTCTCTGATTAATTCTTGTTTGATAAAGTGAGAAAGAGTAAATTCTCTTAAGTGCCTTCCAGTTCTAAATTCCGTGGTTCTGCTTTAGCCAGTCGGGCACCGGCTGTCAATCAGCATGGATAAGGCATCTTGCACTACCAACCCTGGAGCCTTCAGGATTGCAGAATCCCCTATAATTACTCTGCTTGCACCTCGGGACCTTTGAATAGAAGTATTTATCGACAGATAATTGCATTTGGGTGCTAACAGCACTTACGCCACTCCCCTGCTGTTGTAGACTGCCAGCCCAGGCTGGTCTTTATAAGAAGCCAAGAGTATGTACACCCAATACTCAGCATTTCTGGATTGATGGAACAAAAAATATAACAGTTAATAAAAAAATATAACTTAATCGTATGGTATGCTGTGCTCCAGCATGCCACGTGTCCAAAAACCACATTTGGTTTAAATAAACTGTGGTGTTCTATAGAATGATAAAAATGGAATTGCATGAGGAAAAGGGACATCTTCAAGGCTGCAAAAAATATGTATTCCAGTTGGCTGGCTTCTTCTTACAGCAAACAAAATAAATTTTGCTAAAACAAAGCTATGTTAAAAAGTTACCTTTGTAGAAATGACAACCTTTTCTTTGCTTGTTGTTTTACATTAAGCCACCTTATACATTGGCCTGGATGAAGAGCATTTTTTCCATTAGGTATTACCTATCCAGATTACTGCTCTGATTAAGGTCATTGCTTATTTTCTTTATTATTTCTTCATTATCAGTACCTTATTTTAGGAACTAGTTGTTAATTAACTCTTCCAGTAGAAATCATCTTAAATATTCGTAAGGATCCCATTGTGAGGACTGCTAACCATTTTAAAGGTCTAAACAAGCCAGCAGACTGTGTGGTTCCAGTGGGCTAGGAGAATGACCCCATTGCCATCATGTGGCCCAAAAGGTCAGTCTTCCTGAGTGCCACGTTACAGAAAGACAGATGCATGCAGGGGCGAAGAGAGAAGGCATCTCAGTGCCAGAGCTCGTGGTAGTGGTAGGGGAGCAGGTGTCAGTTGCTGTCCCTGCACACAGCAGTCCC